TGGGTTGCCCGTCTGTTTCCCTGTGAGGGTTATGTTGTAATAGCCTGATATTTGTCCAAGATATGCCCCTCTCACAAGTCTGAAGTCTTCGGAGATATGTTCAGGGCCCTGGACAGCTGAATGGAATGCAGGTGTTCTGCCTGAGGAATTACCAGAGGTGTATTCTAGAAGGTTCTCTGCCCCAACTCATGAGGGGATTCTTTTTCGTGGACAGACTCAGCACATGTCAGCTCTCACAGACACTGCACAGAGGTTCACTTCCTTCTTCCCAATTCCAGCTGAGGCTTCAGAGGAATTTGATTCTGGAAACTACCCATTTTTAAAACAACAAAAACAGTCATTTTTCCCTTCTAGTGTGTGCTTTTGGGTTTGCTGGGGACGAACGGTCCTGAGCCTGAGCTGTGTTGGAGGAGGAGGAGATCTATTAGCGGTTCCTTCATTTGAACTGGGCCTGGAATTCTTTGTGAGCCTTTTAAAATAAGGCACCATGCTCTCCCCCAAACTGTTACTCTATTTTACATTTTATTCGCTGTTACGCTGTGTGTGTGATGTATACATGCACACGTGACATATCACGTGGAGGATCGGAAGATAATTTGCAGGCTGGCAGGAGCTGGTTCTCTCCTCCCACCTTCTGGGCTCCTAGGTACTGAACTTAGATCATCAGGGTTGGTGACAGGTGCCTTGACCGGACCATCACTCTATTTAAACAAAGCAATCTCGTGTCAGATTTCACTGACCACAGTCTCTGTAGCTGTATGGGGCGTCATAGATGCAGTTGCCTTTGGGGGACCCCCCCCCCCCCCCCGCCTGCCATGTGTTTGTAAATATGATCTTGATTGTTGGATTTGCTAGCTCTGTACTGTGCCTGTTGATGGTGTGGACCCCAGATCCTGTCAGGAATTGTATGAACACTAAACTCAGATCCCCCATCCAGCCAGGCAGGGGAGCATTTACTAGCCGGCTTCTGTAAACACAACAGCAGATGCTTCTTAAATTTCACTCACCGGCCTTCCTACTAGTACTTTGAAAACAGCCTGTTCCCACTTTCAAATGCTCCTGGGCGAGGAGAGAAAGCACATGCGCACAGAAAAGAGACCTGACCAGAGACTATGGGAGGTGCAGCCTGGTTGGAGGCTAGCCTGCTTACTGCATGTAGGTATCCCGCCTGGGTACCTAGAGATGGAGGTTTCAGAGCTTGTGGGGGGCCTTTGCGGTCTTGAGTCTTTCCAGGATCACTTTTCTCCTGGGCCTGGGCAAGTGAGTGGCTTGTCATTTCCTAGACCGAGTCAGATTGATTCACCGTCACTAATTCGGTTTGCAAATCAGTTTCTGCAGCCATTAAAAGGCAATAGCCTGTGTACACGTGAACGGCCATGTTGACTCCGCAGCTAATCCGTGACAGCTGAGGAACCAGATTGAGTTTGAGTTTGTGGCTTGAAGGCTGGATATATAGGAAACCCTGAAGCCTGGAAGGACTGTTCACTTTTCAAAAAGGCTCCTTTTTCAGAGAGACAGACAAACAGACAGACAGACCTTGGAGGCAGGAACCCCCCTGGAGCTGGGGGTACTTTATGAGGCCCTGAATGCTGACCCAACTCCTTCCCAGCGGCACATGGTATTACAGTATTCATGGACATAGCTCAATCCATTATAGTCCAGGAAGCCCATGTAGTCAAATTGTTTGTCCTTGATGGCTTAACTTTTCAGTATTTGTAATATTTGAGTGTTCTTTCTTTAAATTAAGTGAGTAATGGGTGTGGAGGGACCAAGAATTCAAGTATCACATCGCCTCTCAATGTTCGTGTGTCCAGGGGAAGAGGAAGTTGGGTTCTTCAGTTTTCTTTGGGCTAAACTGATTCCCAAGGTCTGGGCTGAGCTGACTCCTGTTCTTACTGTAGATTTAAGTGGCTGCTTTGGTTTTAGTAGCTAGGCTTGAGTCACAGTCTATGCAGTACACGTGTGGACATCAGGCAGGCGTGTGACCTCAGTTGAACAGAGGAGCCCTGGGTATTCCCTGTCACAGAATCAACTTCCTCACCAGGCTGTGGATGCCTTTGTTATTGTAATTCTCCCCATATCTGGTATTTGAAGAGGCGCCGCTCCAAGTCGTTCCAGCCTAATGAGCCGAAACACGGTGCATTCTAAGTAGGTTTTAAGCTATCGAACCATGAAACAGAGCAAATTTCTAGACTACATCTGCAGTGACTGATAATCACAGCCCTGTGCCAGCCATCGTGAGCCCATATGGGCTGACCAAACGGATCAAGCTGGCCAGGGCAGATGGGGGCCTGGCATCCATGAATAACTTTGGCGCTTTCCTTCCCACATGGCAGGACGATCTGGCTGAGGCTTAGTTTGAGCATCTTTTGGGAAGTGGCACATGCGTGCCAAGTGTGCCTCCATCACCTTCTTATGTTAATCCAGGATCTTCATTGGAGCACACTGCTGTGGCGCTGATTTTCTGTTCCCCCGGCTTCTCAATCACACGCCTTCATCTTCGATGCAAAGCAGAAGTTAAAGGTGGTGTGGGTTTTCTAGTCTGAACCTTTGCTGACTACTGACAGCTCTGATGAGAGATGTTCTGGAAGGAGATGGCTTCCAGAGATCAAAGGTTCTCTGTGGACTTCATCTCCCTGCCCTCTCTCATCCTGGCTGTCACTCTCTGGTTATATGGCCTGCAGATACGGCCATTGGTTAAGATAGAAAACCCAACCAAACCCCAGGATCTTCTCCGTGATAAGTGGGAGAAACACTGTTTTTCCATGCTCTTTGTCCCCTGGAGTCATATCCTTAAGGTGGGGGGCATCTTTGCCTGCTTCTTCTTTTGTCTTCTGCCCAGTATCCTGACCTAGGGACCTGGCTCCTATCCCTACAGCTAGATTGTGTATTAAGAGAGGCTGCAGTGGGTGTAGAAACAGCTGAACCTCCTTGCTCCTCAGCCCCTATGAGCCATGGCATCTGGCGGCTGTGTGGCATCAGGAGAACGGATTGATAGGAAAGGTATAGAATTAAGGGGCCAAACATGCTTAGCCTGAGAACGAGCCCCTGACACTGCCTGGGTACGCCCCTCTTGACTCGGTCGTTCAACCTCAGCCAACCTGTTTGCTCCTCTGACAGGAGTGGTTCACGAATGCTTCTCCCTCCCTGCAGGGCTGTTCAGGTAGGCGCAGCAGGCCCCTTGGCACCCGTTTTCCATCGACCCACATCTGGGTATGAAGCACAGTGCTCTCCTCTAGCCTTTCCAGCAGGGCAACAGCAGATGTGTTGGTCCCAGTGAAAGGCACAGAGGCGAACAGCTTACTGCTGGTGGCTCAAGCTAGGGAAAGTGCTTCTAAAGCGTCACATCATCCAGGTTCACCGGTGCCTCCGAACCCCTTGTACCTGTGCTCCCTAGTTCTGGTCCTGGTTCTTTACTACAGAATGATGGGTGATATCCTGGCGAGTCATGAGCCACTCTGGTAATAGGAAGAGTAATCTCTGGCTATGTGAGAACTCATTTCCTCACAGAATCTCATCATGAACCAAGTTATTCATGTAATTTGGAATGCACTTAGCAATGGGTTGTATCCCTGCAGCATTTGGAAGCAGTCAGGTTTCCTGGTCTGGTTTTTTGTTGTTGTTATTGTTTTGTGTTTGGTTTTTTGTTTTTGTTATTGTTTTGTGTTTGGTTTTTTGTTTTTGTTTTTGCTTTTTTTTCTCAAGACAGAGCCTCTCTTGTAGCCCATACTCAACTCAGACTCTCAGTCCCCCTACCTCAGCCTTCTGAGTGCTGGGATTACAGATGGGCACCACCACACCCAGGAGGGCTTCCCTTTTGTGACCATGCTGTAGGCATAGCAGCCTCTGTTGGATCTGATACTTCCAGTGCTGCAGAAGTTCTGCGTGACAGTTCATAGCATACCCAGATGGCACACATGGTAGAGGGCTCCGAGGCCATGCAATTAAAGCATCAAAGCTTGGAGCTCTGGCTTAGCCTTGCTCTGTGGGATGCTGGGCAACGTGTGTCTTGGCACCTGTATGTCCTTCCGGGTATTCTCCATAAAGTGTGTACTCTAGCAGAGCTAACACTGTTCACAGGGGTACGCAGGGCTAAGAGATGGGCACTAAGTAAGGCAACTGCCAGTATTCAGTGTTAAGAAGAGAGACCTGGCCTGGAAAGAAAAAGGCCTGGTTTCTACCCCAGTCTAGGGCTCACTTTGTCTAATGCTGAGCCAGTCTCCAGAGCAATCCCATCTTGGCTGCCTGTAGGGGAAGCTGGGTTCCCTGGTGTAAGAGCCAGCAAGCTCATACATGGGAGCTGGCTTCAAAAAGCGAGCACCATGCCATAAATGCTGTTGGCCCGCTATCTCCACACCTCCCGTTATTCCTTGCATTTTATTTAATTTTCATTTTATTTTATTTTTTTTCCTGCAAGGTTATAGCAAAAGAGACACATGAATGGGAGGTTTCAGAATTTTCACTCATATAGCTTAACCATACTATCTTGTGGAGTTTTGATTTACTTCAGAAGCTAGCATACATGTTGAGGTTCCTCTGAATGAATTAAGCTGATTTCTAACACAAAGCAAAGCTGGCACCCATGTGTAGAATCGTAAGCCTATTCATTGGCAAAGATTGACATGATCAGACCTGGCTGTGCTCTGTAGAGATCCAAGAAGACAGGAATGTGTGCAGACATTAAAAGCTAGCCTTGGATAGCCACCACCTCAGGTAGTATTGGCCAAAATACTCTTAGTGTTTGTGTCTAAGCAATTCGGGCACCATTAGGCAGGGGACCTTGTTAATCCTTTGTAGAGGTGTACCCGGAGCCTAGATCTACTGACTTTTGGGAAGGACTGTCTCCTGACTATTGCTGCCTAGCTTGGGTTTCCCTGCACCACTGAAAGAAATACATTGCAGTCCTGGGCTCAGAAAGCCATCAGACATCAAAGCATTTGCTATTGTGTCGACACCATTCCTTCTTTAGGGGGGAAAACTAGGAAAGTTATTCCGTTTACCAGTGATGACGTTATTATTCCTTTTGTCAACAGGCAAGATGATGAAGTCCTGGCAGCTTCCCGGGTCCCAGGCCTTGTAGAAATAAATGAGACAGACGTGCTTCAAAGTTCTAATGGGCATCACACCGGAAGCATTAAAAGGAGCCCCGCCGTTGCCTGTTGAGAAGGCTGTGTGCTCTCAGGCGTGGTTACAAGCATGCCTCCCTGTATTACCTGTCGGAGCAGGTTTAATTTTATAAATTTCTAGACACAAACTCTATGAGTTTCTAGTTCATACCTGTTCTTTTTGAGGATCCGCTCAGACGAACAGTATTTACATCCGTAAGAGATACGCACTCCCACTGCCCAAAACTGGTTGAGGAATCACTGGCAACAGACTCCATCAGTAGCATCGTCCAGTGCGTGATGGGAAGGACAGAGGGCGAGGAGACCGTCCCAGGGCGAGTCATACTGTGCCGGAACCACAGATGGCCAGAACCATAGTGTTACTACACCAGCGATTTATTTTTTGGTTTTTGGGTTTTTTTTTTTCCCCTTGAACACAGTAGATGCTTACTACTGTGAAGCCACGTACAAAGCATTAAAGTGAAGCCTGCGGCTTCAATCCATTGTCATTAGTGACTTCTTTGGACACTCGAAAACACTGAAAGTTGTAAGCTTTCATTTTTAAAATCCTTTTTAACTGAGCTTTGAGAAAAGCCAGGGTCAGCAAACTGTCCTGGACCCTTTGCTCCGGCCTCCCTGTCCTGTCATGCAAGCAGCAGGTACCCAGGCGAAGATGGGAAGCCTTGTGGGAGAGGAAGGAACATGGTGACGATCAGGCCCACTGAATGGTAGCTTAGTGCCCTGAGGCGCTTCTAATGCAGGCAGTGATGGTGACAGCTCGCTGCAGAAGGCCAGACCTAATTTGTGTTTTTGAAACCACAAGTGTTCACACAATTCTTGGGGGAGGGAGGACTCAAAAACTCAAATATGAGCATCGCTTATACCCAGAACAGTATTTTTAATCATTCTTTTGTTTGTTTTGTTAAAAAAAAAAAAAGAACAATTAAAGTGCTTGGAATTCTTTATCTGTGGTCCCTTGGAATGTAATCTGTAAGACACCTCCCGCAGTATGCTGTCACTTTGGACATTCATAATAAAAGTTGAAACGCATTTCCGTTGCAAGTCCTTTCTTTTGCCTTGGTTGGTACACATGTCTCCATTTACCTTTGCCTGGCACCCATGCCGTCTGCACCGGTGCATATACAAAGATGCATTCATCTTCCAAGCCTCCTTCTCCCCTATCCTGCCCCCGTCTTTTTCACTGGGTGACTGACAGTTTCCAAGTTTGAACAGCCACTCTTCTCTTGTTTCCTGGAAGACCAAGAGATCTTTGAATGCCAAAGTCTTTTTGAATATGCATTGCAACATGGGTTAGAGATAATTCCCAAGGATTGTACCATGGCTTTCTGGAGTTTCTCCTTGTATATTTTTTTATTAAATTAATCTTAACGTGATTCTGACACGTCTTGGCTGTGCTGGAGATTCTGTTGATGAGCTGGGAACTGGAGGAGGCTATGGCTGCTACGGTGACACGGTGTGGGCTTTTCAGAACATCTTTGTTTGACTCCCCAACATGTTGGGGTGTCATCTTATGTATTCCAGCATACTGCAGTTAAGAAAGAAAACAGCTTCCAAAAAGTCCAAACATGCCAGTCTTATAAAAAATGTGTAGATCTTGCTTGGCACGCTTACCAAATCTGCCGTGACAAGAAGAAATGATCACTTTTTGTCTTTGTAATTAATTTTGCAATGGCAGGTGTACCACTCACCTAGCCTCAACCTCCCAGTACCTAGTCCTTATCCCCCGAAGAAACAAATGAATTTGGGGGCTACCAGGCTATTCTAGTGCATATATGAACAAGTGATTTGGGAACTTTGGGGGCTGGGGAGATGGCTCAGTCAGGAGATGATTGCCACACAGGCATGAGGTCCTGAGTCTGATACTCAGCACCCATGTAAAAAACTAGCTGTGGCGATGTGTGTTCATATCCCAGTGCTGGGGAGGTGGAGAGATGGAGACAGGGGGATCTCTGATGTCTGTAAGTCAGCCAGCCTGGCCTAGTCAGTAACCCCCAAATCCTACTAAGAGACTATGTCTCAAAAAAATATGTTGGACAGTTCCCGAGGAACAGCTTCTCAGATTAATCTAGGGCTTGCACACACAAACTGATTTGATCATCTCTTTGTTAGACATGGGGCATTGCTGTTTCCTAGGCTGGTTGCAAACCCCTGGGTCTACAATCCTGTTCCTGCTTTAGAAGAGTGTCAGGTACCGGGAGAGACAGATGCCTACCATCATGCCCTTCTTTGATGAAAAAACTCATTTAAATTGATGGAAACCCTAGCAGATCCTGAAAGTTTTCTTCCATGGATGGGATGGTGGGACAAACTAGAATCATAAAGGACTTAGAATTGGGCTCATTACTTCAGAGGCCAGCTTGTAGGCAGTCAGCACAAGTTAGAGATGCCTTTCTGAAGGTCATGGGCACTGAGGGATCTGGGAGGAGTTGTCTTTTGACTATCCAAGGACAGCCCTCTTAGTGGCAGAGGTTGGTGTTGTCATAGCTAGCTGATGTCAGCTATGTTAGCTTCCCGCCAGCGTCCCATCAGCCCTCTGTGGTCACCGTGCTGTTTCCCACAAGACCCCCCCCCCAAGCCTGCTGCAAAGGAAGCTTTCACAGCCCCCTTCTGGAGAGACTTCTGGCTTTGGAAACAGTGTGAGGTGACTGACGTGCCAAATGGGACAGCGGCCTTGGGATGGGTTGCTTGGTTTTGTAAGTGCCGGGAGGGCCTCTCTCCCGTGGATTCTTGGTGGGTGATCTGAAGCAGTGTCTTTGTGGTTAATCAGTTCTCATGGAACGGGGGAAAACAACAAACAAACAGAAAGCCACTCTGTTTCAGAACGCTGCGCACGGATGGTTATCATTAACCAATCATTTGTGCTTTAAGCAGTTAAGCAGTCGCCAGGCCCCATGTTGCAGACGGTAGGCCCCTTCTGCGCATTGCTTCCAGAAACCCATGAGCTCTACGTTCGCTTATTAAAATTGGGAACACTCCACAACTCACAGTGGCACCGGATGCAATCACTTTTGACTGCATGCTCTCTCAGAGGGCTGCTCCGGGTTACAAAGCAGCGGTGGTCAGCTCCCGAGGCCTTCATCGCACCTCTTAGTGTATGCAAGGGAAGCCAGGCTTACTCCTCTTTATTTCTTCTGAGGTTCACATCTCTCTCACAGTGTTGTTTCCAACAGAGAAGATTTGAGACTGGAGAGATAGCTCAGCCGTTAAAGGCTAGGCTAACAAGAAACACAAGACTCGAACTCCAAACCATATGGAAGCAAAATGTGGGCTCATTGTCACCCAGTCCTGTGTCATAGCAATTAATTCCTTCCAATCCAGTAGGAGACAAGTCGACTAAATGCCTATTCATATGGGTTAGTGAAAACCGTGAACTATAAAAATAAAACATGCATTTTATTAACTAGATGTCTAAGGCTGTCAGCTTACACAGTTAAGGAAACAAATCCTGAATATGCCTTCACTTGCGCTCTACTGATCCCAGGTAAGGAGAAAACTACGGAACAGAAGGGATCTCTAGTCAGATTATTGTTTTAAAACAGCGTGAAGTCCAAACTGAACCTTTAAAGGATCCTTCCCAGAAGATCAGACTCACATATACAATCCCTTCCCCCCTCTCCTCCCAGGTCCAGAGCCACCATGCCACACAGATGGGCCATCCTCTCCCAGAGCCACAGTGGCACAGATAGGCCAGCCTCTCCCACTTACTGTTGCACTGCCTCTTTTTACAGTTAAGAGGGGGAAAAGTTACCAAGGGATATGCCCCAAATGGCCATGAAGTCAGGAGTTTTATCCATGTGGAAGAAACTACACATACATGCGTGTATGAGCAGGTCATGTGGTTGGAGGCCCAGAGCCAACTGGCCACAATTTTAGGTCATAGAAAAGCAAAACACCTCAAGTCGAGCCCTGGTGGGGAGTGCTGAGAGCGGAGGGTCCCAGAGGCCTGCCCTGCCGTCTTCGGCAGATGTGGACATCCCATAACAGAAACTTCAGTTGCCCGCTGATTCCCACTGACGCCTGCTCCTACAGAAGGACGTTTCGGAGAATGTTGCAAAGACAGAGGTCTTCAGACACCAATATATTTACCAGTCACCAAGTGCTCAGTGCTATGCCTGAGCTCAAACATGGACCCCTGTCACTTTGGATCCACGCACTAGAATACAGGTTGTATTGCAATTCCCCAGAAGTGAATGCAAAAAAAGCGGCTCAGGCAGGTCCGAATTACTAGTTTTCTCATAATGGAATTAAAACTTTCTTCTTCTTCTTCTTCTTCTTCTTCTTCTTCTTCTTCTTCTTCTTCTTCTTCTTCTTCTTCTTCTTCTTCTTCTTCTTCTTCTCCTTCTCCTCCTCCTCCTCCTCCTCCTCCTCCTCCTCCTCCTCCTCCTTCTCCTTCTCCTCCTCCTCCCCTCCTCCCCCTCCTCCTCCTCTTTCTTCTCCTTCTCCTCCTCCTCCTCCTTCTTCTTCTTTTTTGGTTTTTCAAGACAGAGCTTCTCTGTGTAACAACTCTAGCTGTCCTGGAACTAGCTTTGTAGACCAGGCTGGTCTTGAACTCACGGAGATCCGCCTGCTGGGATTAAAAGCATGCACCGCCACTACCCAGCTTAAAAATGCTTCTTATGTCATAGTCAATAAACACTTTTGCTCTGTCCTGGCCAGCAACAAGTTTGTTTTATTTAGATTCCAAAACATCAGGGTTCAGCTGACTAGAACAGTGCGCCATTTCTTTTTTAAAGTGTAGGATTACCAAGGTCTTCTCATGATTTCTGTGTCCTGCAAGCAGAGGTCCTTATAGCAAGGTTCTGAAAGCAATGGGCGTTCCGATGGATTTACCAGCTTTGAAGACATATCACCTTTCTGGTCTCAGGCAAAGGAGAGATGATTTGGAAGCAAAATATGATGATATATCTTCTTTACTCTTAAACTCATGTATGATCCCACAAATATGTCCCCAGCTGTACTTAAATAGACCCCTGTTCTCTGAACCCCTAATCTTTATGGTTACTTTGTAATTCTGACCGCCCATAGATGCTGCTATCATACTCAACATAAGAACTCTCCAGTGTGACCAATAAACAGGAGGGAAAGCAGTTCAAAATGCAAGCAAAATGGTTGGCTTTTACAGCCTTTGGGAATTATAAATAAAATGTGAGGAGCTATTTCTATTACCAAGTCAAATGTATTCTATTTTTTGAAACAGCTTTCCTATTGGAATATTAATATTGAGGGGGTTGGAACTGTAGCACAGTTAACAGAGTGCTTGCCTAGCATACACAAAAGCTGGGTTCAATCCCAGCACCATATAAACCAAGTGTGGTGGTACAAGCCTGTAATCCCAGCACTCAGAGGCGGAGGCAGGAGATTAAGGGGAGACTCAGGTACACAGCCAGTTTGAGCCCACTCTTGGTGAGAGACTCAAAAAAATAAGATAAAAGGGCTAGAGGGATGGCTTACCGGTAAAGAGCGCTGGCTGCTCTTGCAGAAGACCAGGGTTCAATTCTTAGCCCCCCGCATGGTAGGACACAATCATTTGAACCTCCAGGTCCTGGGAATCCAGTGCCCTCTTCTGCCACTAAGGGCACTGTATGCACATGGTACACAAACATACATGCAGTCAAAACACCCATGTACATGAAACAGAAACTTTTAAAAATTTAAAATGATGTAGCTAGATACATACACACATATATTTGGTGGAACACAGATACTTTGCAGGAAGCCAGTGGGACAGAATACAGTTACTGAACGCTCAGCTGTTTTCCGTGTGGGGCTATCTTCAAGGTCATAGAGGCAAGGGTGGTTTAAGCAGACCTTTGCTGAATTTGACACTGAGGAGAGAAAGACTGCTGGAATGGCTCTTACTTAGAAAGGTGCTCACCACATAGCAAAGAGAAAACCAAGATCAGCGGCTGTCCCATGAACTAGGAGTTGAGGTCACCGTTAGTTTCTCCCTCTGGACAAAGGCCAGCGTCACTGGTCACAACTACCTGGTGTGTGAGGCTTGAGAGACACACAGGCTTGCTTTGACAATTCAAATACTTCCACCTGGTGGTGGACGCCATAGATGTCACTTAAGAAAGCATATTTCCCCCCTCAAGCTCAGATAAGCCTAGGAATGACCACACCCAAGCCATTTGCCGACTTCCCCACTTTTTGGACATCAGCCAAGATACAGGAGTGGTGGCTCATTTAATTAAAGTCCCCCTCAAATTCCTTCTAATTCTGGTGTCCATAACTGGCCCATCATCACTTTCTTCAAACCGAGTGTTTCTGAGGTAGACACCACAGTTTAACCATTTTTCAATACTTAGGTATTTTGCGTGAAGAGGATGGGGAGTGCACATGTCGTGGGGTGTGTGGATGTCAGAGGACAATTTGTGGAAGTCACTTCTCTGCTTGTGGGTCCTCCTGGGATTCATTTAAACGTGGGTCATCCTATGGGTGTGCCCTGAACATCAGGAGTCTTAGAAGAGATCCAGATAGATCCTGTCATGGAGACACTGTGGGGTACAAATGGGATGAGAAGATGGGATGGGTTGGTGTCAGGGTGTGGGTCCCACCCCTGCCCCTGTGGGTTTTTCACGGAGACCTAACTGCCCTAGACTATAGGAGGGAGCTAGCCACAGCAGCAGCCCTCTGATCCATATAATGAAAATATCATCTGTTTTGTGTGATTCAGGATAGAATGGGCTCGGCAAAGGCCGAGCAATCAGGAAATGATGGCTGTCGTTTATTCCCTAATGTGAAATATAGATATAGAAACACTGAGTGATTGAGGATGTCGGATTCTTGAATGTGCGAACCAGAAGGGTGTCGTCCGGGCTCGATTTTCCCTGGGTAATTAAATGGCTCCTCTGTCACAGCTTTATTGAGAGATAATGCTATTTATTGTGCGCTCTGTTTTCCCAGGGTGGGACCAACAGGATCTGCTTGTCAGATAAATCCAGAAACAATTGGGAAGTGAACTCTTTGGATAAGGCCTGCTGGGTGTCTGAGTTTCGGGTGAGGTGGGGGCACAGCATTAATTAATGTCACCTCATTGCTGTCCAGGGATGGCCCCAGCCACAGGAAGGAAAATGAACTACGGGACAAGGGTTATGTTGTCATAGACCCTTCGCAAGTTTCTCCTCTGTTCCCCACCCTTTTTTATGACCTGGTTTGTGTTTCTCTGAAGTAAACAAAACCAACTTCTAATAGAAAAGAAAAAATACAAGACAGTGCATATGGGATGGACATGACTCCCACCATGCAGAGGCGGGGAGGACAAAGCTTTCTCACTCTGCTTGTGTGTGCGGTGTGGCTCTTGGCGGGGCCCAGCACGAGGAGGAGAGCCTTACGGTGTGTGCGCACTTCTCTGGGATTGTCAGAGCAGGTAGAAACCCGAGCCAGCACCCGAGCCTCAAGCTTCATAACTGTGAGCATTGTGGAATCCTACACAGCATTTCTGACTCTCTTTGAGAGAGACCGTGACTTTTCATCTGATTTACGAAGAGCTTGGTAGCCTCCCAGACCAGAGACTCGCTGTAATTACTAAGGAAACAAACCCAAAGGAATCAGTTCAAATCTGCAAGGGCAGTCAGAAGCCAATGAATGTAGAGCTAAGTGCAGGGGTAGGCTCTGTTACTATTGGCTGGGGGTACTGAGTTGTTTGAAGCCCCTGGAAAGAAAGCTGAGCTGTGGGCAGTATCCTTGGGTCAACCACCGAGGCAGAGTCCAGCCACAAGGGGCTAGCAACTGTCTGGCAAGCTCAGGAGACACAGGTCACAAAAGCCAAAAAGAAGCTGTGACAAAACCAACAAGCCTGGTTTGGATTTTCTTTATTTTTTTCTTTTTAAAATTTTTTGTTTGTTTGTTTTGTTTTTTGTTTTTCTGTTTTTTTTTTTTGAGACAAGGTTTCTCTCTGTAACTGCTTTGGCTGGAACTTGCTTTGTAGACCAGGCTGGCCTCGAACTCAGATTTTCAATTCTTTTTTTCGAGGCTTAATGGACCCAGCAGTTCTACAGACTGAAGTATTTGGGAGCTTTTATGAGAGAGCGTTAAACCCTGACACTAACAGAATTTCCCTAAGAATAATAGGGGCCACACTGGGCTTACCCAGTGCTGTGGTCAACCAGGCTTGCCACAGCCAGGGGAGGGAGGCCTGGAACAGCTGAGGGATGGATCCCGGGCAGCCACTCCCCTCCCCCCAGGACAGGCCATTCCTGCTTCATTCCTGCCTCACCTGGACTGGAGATTTCTCAGCTTTATTATAGGCTAGGAATTTCGTTCCCCTAAGCCTTGGTTTCCCCATTTATAAAAATGGGGATAAAAGTGCCTGCCTGTTGGATCCTTTCAAAGATAACCGAACGTAGATTAGGCATCTAGCTGATCCCGTCATGTTCCTTGTGTCGAATATATTTTGGATTGTGGAACCATGGTATTGTAACTTCTTATGACAAAAAGTTGATGGAACTAACTCTTCTGGAAAGGAATAGGGCCAGCAGTTCAAACTCAAAGGCTGAGAAAAATGAAAGAACCTTTTTTGCTTGCTCTTTCTGGTCCCTGCCCTGCCATGATTGACCCCAACTCTCTTGATGTGATTTTAATGTTGTGATACAGGGTCTCATATATCCCAAGCTGGCCTTTAGCTCCGTCTCCATAGGTGGCCAGTCACACATGACCTAGAATTCCTGATATCGCTGCTTCCACCCAAAGACCACACTTGGCTCTTGGTTTGATTGGTTTGATTCTTAATTACTCAAGAATTAAAAATAAAGGAAACAATACATTACAAATGATCCCAGTGAAGTTTAGTGGACTGGAAAGGGACATGGGAGGGAGGGAAAAGGGTCATGGACTACTCCAGGGGACAGAACATCCTTATAAAGGCAGAGAGAGACTTGGCTGCTGCAGCTTGTTGAAATCATCAAGACTGGTTGGGGAAGTGCTGGGGACTGAGGCCAAGGTGACCCCAGAGAAGTCAGAGCAGCCTGTAGCATTGACCACTCCTTTGTATAATTAGAGAAGGGACCTTCTGTACCCAGAGTATGCAACCGGGGTTTAGCTCATGATCACCCTCACAACAGGTACTCACGGCATATGTTAACTGAGGGCCGCGTAGACTCGGAAGTTCAAGCATCCCTCTCCGTCCACAAGGACCAAGGGTAATGCTGAAGTCATGCCCATGTTTTGGGGGGATGGCAAGATGAAGAGATAGAAAGGAACTCAGGACCTTTCCTTCTTGGGGCCTAGGGAAAGTCCCTTTCAAATGTGTCCAGAGATTTGTAGACTCTCTCAGCCCCTCTCTTACCAGCTGCTCTCAGATTCCCCACTAGGACAGGTTCTGAGTCCTCCCTCCAGGTTCCAGCGCCTCTCTTCCCCTCCACCTCTTGTCCCTGTAGCTTCAGAGAACTACAGAGTGACCTGTGCACAGGCAGGCTTTGAAGAGATTGTTCTACAGTCTGACAGTAAAGCTAGTGATCCCTTTGCTTGGTGAGCCGCCTGCCCTGTGAGGAGTGCTCGAAGGTGAGCCGAGAGCCATCTGGCCGCTCCCTCGTTCATGTCTTCACACGGCTGCCTCCCATTCCACTTCCTTATACTGACTCTTAGGAGGACATGTGTCTTCTTCGGGCTTAGGGCCTGCCTAGAGCACCCGTGATGACCTCATCTTGAAAGCTTTAACTTAACCACATTTGCAGAGGTCCTTTTCCCAAATAAGGTCACAGCCAGGGGTTCCTGAGGCTAAGACAAGGATACACCTATCCGATCCAGCTCACAGCACAGTCCCACGCCTGCACTATCTCCGGAAGTGTTTTCTTGTCCTTCCCCTAAAATTTGGGTGTTCTTTAAATACCTCAAGCCATCTTTGGGTAGAATATGGAAGATTCCAGAATATCACTGGAATAATAGAACACTGTTGACTAGGGATTGATATTTCCTATAAAGATATAAGCTTGGTGCTTAAGGGGGGGGACGGGACAAAGATCCCCAGATGTGGAGGCGCATACTATAACCCCAACAGTTGGGAGGCAGAGGCAGGAGAATCAGGTGTTTAAAGTCATCCTCAGCTACACGGCAAGCTTGAGGATAGCATGGAACACCTGAGACCCCATCTCAAAACAAAACAAAAGACTGAAAGACCTGTAAATCTGAGTGCCTCTCCCACCTCCGCCACTTCTCATCCCTGAATTCTTATGTCTTCCTAAGAGGTGTGGGGTCTCCATGCTTCCTCCTGTACCTACATCTTACATCTTTCTTTCCATGTATACATATATACATGCGCATGCCTATCCTATCTCTCAAGAATAGAACCCAGCAGGGGGAGGGGGTACTGGATGGGGTTAATAGTCCTTGCTCTATAAACCCGAGGCCTGAGTTCAAATCTCTAGCACTTGGGTAAAAAACTCCATGCATATACGGGTATATGCATGGAGGCATATACCCGTAACTCTGACATTGGGGAGCACACACAAGGCAAATTCTGAGAGTCTGCTGTTGGGCTAACCTGGTGTAAATAGTGAGTTTCCTGTTGGGTGATACACTGTCTCAAGATAACAAAGTGGAAATCTCTAGAGAGGGACATTCAATGTACTGCTCTAAGCTCCCTGTGCGCCATTGTCTTTCTTTCTTCCTCTCCT